CGAGGGCTGGGGGAAGGAGAGCTTTCCTGCCTGTCACCTGCACCCAACCTGGTCCTCTGGGAGGGCTGGAGCCCACTCTTCAGGCCCACCCTGGAAATGCAGCAGAAGGAGCTTTCTTGTTTCTATCCCCCCTCAGCTTCAGCCTAAGGGTAAAGCACTGACCCAGGAGCTGCCAGTCAAACATCCCTGCTTGGTGCCAGCTGGGCGGTGGCACAGCTTTTTGTCAACCGGAGCAGCGTTTGGGAGGCTGAAACAGGAGTGAAATCTCTGACCTTTCGGTGCCCATGAAAGTAAAACTGTCTCAGAGCTTTTTGGGGCTGCCAGCAAGCTGGTGTGACAGGAGATCCTGAGCTCCCGGGAACATTTCAAAGCCAGGCCATTTGGTGCCGGGTTGTGGTGGGATCGTGGTGTTTTGGAAAGAGGGAGCAATGGGAAAAGCTGTCCAAAAGCCATCTGGTCTGGTGGTCGGGAGGCCGGCGTAGATTGCTTTGCATGCAAGGAGGGCTGAACTGGCTGGCACTGAGCCAAGCCTGACCTAACCAGCTTATTTCCCTGCTTTCAGTAATGCCTGCACAAATGCGCTGGGGCCTGAAGGTCACGGCCACGTGAGCAAAGGTCTGGGGATTAGCTGTGGGCAGAGCACGGCTCCTCCCGGGTCTGCTGTCGTAGCCCTGCGCCCCAGGAACGATCGTGGCTCCCCTGTGTGCTGCAGCCAGCGTGGCGTCGGCACCTCGGATGGGTGGCGGAGAAGCAGGGGGCTGGCTGGGAACAGCACCTCCTGTACCTGGCATTTCTCTGAGGTCCAGGAAAATAGATAAATGTTTACTAGTCCCACATCAGCCCCGATTTTCCTTCCAGGTGTTGGTAACACTGGCCAGCGGGTTGCTCTTACGCATGTTACCCCTGCAACAGTGTCTATCTCTGCTTTTGGAAGAAAGCCCAGCAGGTTTGCAAACTTCTGAAAGGCACCTGGTTTGGATGTGCCCACACCTCTGAAGGCCACAGACCATGCTCAGCTGGGCATGCAGGGTGCCTCCTGGGGCAAAGTGTCACTGCTGCCCCCACTGTAATAGAAGTTATTGACCTAGTGTGGTGCATGAGTGCATTTCTCTTGGAGCTGGGAGACAAGCTACAGAAGTCTAATATTGGATCAGGGTATCACAACTGAATAGTGATGATACGTCTCTAGGCACTGATGTCATCAGACATGAAAGCAAAATGACATCTAACAGCATTCTCAGCACAATCATCTCTAGCTGCCTCTGCATGGCATCTGACTCCATAAAGTCCCATTTCCTTTTGGAGCTGTTTGACTGCTCTCTGTGGGGGATTTGGAGGAAAGGGAGATGCGTGTGGGTGCCAAGGGACCTGGCCCAGCTCCTCCCTATCCTGGGAGGCTCCTAGCAGCAATTCACAGGCCAAGAAATAGTTGGGGCTTGGTCTCCACCGCATCTGTGGGAAACAGCCCTCGGGCTGCCGGACGGGCTCGGAGCAAACCTGATGTTTCTCCCTGGAAAGCCAAACTTTGCCTGTCCTACTGCAATGCTCTGATCCCCTCCCCTCTGTCCTGAAAGCCCCGGCAGGCCCTGATGCTGAGCCCATCAGGTGGAATTACTTAATCCAGCTCTGACGAGTGACACCCACACCCAGGAGCAGGTCCCTCTAATCCCTCACTGCCATCAGCCGCCTTAGCACATGCAGGGCAAAACAAACACCACGTGAGCACATGGTGCCTTCTCCATCATCCCGCCACTGCTTCAGCAGCCCTGAATAAAACTGCCCCGTTACCTTTTTCCCGTGAGCCGCCCCCATGGTCCAACGTGTTGGCTGTGCTCCGCTCACCCGGGCTGTGGGACCGGCTGGCTCTCTGTGGTCACCGGCCCCGTTACTCCCGGGGGGATACGCGGCCGTGTAGCTCCTGGCCCCTCGGTGGCTGCTGCGGGGAGACGTAGGTGAAATCCAGCCCGTCTGCAGTGGGGTCGGGCGGGAAAGCTTGCTTTTCCTCCCTTCTCCCAGCACGTGGAGAACTCATTTTCTTCATGCACCTAACGGCTGGCTCGCGCCCAGGCTCTGCCCGGGCACAAAGGCAGCTTTCATGCTGCGGATGCCCGGTTTCTAAGCCGGGATCCGTATTTTGAGAGGCTGTGGAAGATTACAGTAATTGCACTTGACAGGGCAAGATGTCACAGGATGCGGATTCGCCCGGCTGCGGGGCCCCGGCACCCGTTGGTCCTTGCCTGTGGCATCCTTCCCAGCTGCTCCTTTGGTGCTTTGCCGAAATAAATCCGTACCCCCAAAATAAAGGAAGATTATCCCTCTGCTACCTATCTGCATTCTGGCTCTTGGCTCCTGTTGCAGCACTGGATTTTGCAAACTTTGCTCCTGCAAATGCCCCAGGCTGCCTGTTTGCTGCTGCAGTGCTGGAGCTCACCGTGGCCCACAGGTGAGCCCAGGTTACCCGGAGCTGCGTCCTGGGAGGCCGCACAGGTCAGGGCTTGTGTTTGCTGAACTCTGTGGGGGATGCGGCACAGTGAAAACCAGCCAGGTAGGTGCCTGTCTCCGCAGTAATACAGCTTTCAAAATGCCAAGGTGCTAAAAAAACTCATTTGGGGATTGCTGTCCCTGCATCCACCACCCTTCTCAGATCTTTCTGAAAAATGAGCAAGTTAAATTTGACTCCTGAAGCCATATTTATACCACTGCCTCCCAGACTCTGGACTTTTGAAAAGCTCCAATTTATTTATCAGGACATAGTGGCTTTAGCAGGAATGGTTCTTCAAAAGACTGGCTGCTGATTAAGGTCCCTGCACAGGAGTTGCACTTTTAGCTCTCCCTATTGTATTGAAAATAGTGATGTACCTTAGTAACTGCTCCGTGGTGGATTCAGAGCTAGTTTTAACAGTCTGTAGCTTGCTGAAACAAATTTCCTTTATTTTGGCTTTAAACCAGATTTCTAACGCGCATTGCAAAGGGCTAGGAAGAGTTTCCTGTGGCTGAAAGGGGCTGGTTGTTTTCTGGGCTGTAGCTGATGCTGTGTGCTGGTTTACCTCATGCAGCCGCCTTTACAGCTCTTAGGCTGTTTTCAGTTTGGCTTACGAGAGAATCTAGATCCTTTGAGGGGGCTTAAAATAGTTGGCATATTTATGCTGGTGGTGCAGCAGGGCTGTGTGATGTGAGGGCTGTTGTGTCTGTTGCGTTGTGTTATTTCTCGCTGCTGCTACGGGTAGGGATGATTCAGCGCTTGGGATTAACCGCTGCTGTTGAAGCGGATTTAGGGATTGATTTATGGAGGAGGCTTCCCTCGGTGCGATCAGGTGCACGTTAAGAGCACAGGAGGATAAGCAGGGATAAAATACTACAGCATTGGGGAATTCCTCTGTGATGGCTGTTTGGGGGTTTTACTTCAGTTTTGCCTTTGGAAGTTCTTATAGGGGTTACACAGTTTGTTTTGGGATTTTCTTCTTGGTTAGGGAAAACCAATTGCCTTGCTGGTTTTGGATGGCAGTGCTGGGTTTTGGATCCAGGGTTTTGTCCCTAAGGTGGCCGGTGCAGGACAGGCTGTGTCTCTTTCTGGCCTTATCCTGCCAATGCTCCTCACTTCTGCTCTCCTGGGGTGACCTGAGGGCTCAGGTAACGGGTGAGAACTGCCTGTTAGAAGCCGTGCTGGGGCAAACCCTGCCGTTACAGGCAGAAAAGGCTGTGCAGGATAGCCTGTTACCCTGCGCAGCTCCAAATGCTCCAGCAGAAATGCTCCACGCTCATCTTCTGCAAAACTGCTAGTCTGCTTTAAAGAATGGGGAAAAAACAGATATGGCTATAGGAAATTAAAGGCTGTATATGATGCAAATTTGTCCCTGTCCGTGATAACAGATAAGCCCAGGTCATCACCCATGTAGCTTATCTGATCTCAGCAATGCTTGCGCTCGGGAAGGTTTTGGGTACAGATGGTTGTTGGGTGAATGCATCCAGACACGAGCTGGGGGCAGATGCTCCCCCAGGACCTCCTTGGTGTTGGGCAGCAGCACCCTGGAAGGAGGTCTGGGGGGCTTTTGCCAGCCTGTATTTGGGCAGGGAGCTCTCCCCCGCTGGCAGTGTCGGCTGGGCCTGGGTTGGGGTGCAGCTCCTGGAGCAAAGCGGGTGCGTGGGTGCTGGCAGCGGGGTGCCAGCCCGGGGGTGTTTTATCGCTCCAGACTGATGCTGGCTCCGGCTCTGCCGGTAAAAGGCTCCCACCTATTGGTTATGCTGCACAACTTCAGCTGCCTGAGAAACTTGGACATCCATCCCTCCGTCTCCGAGGGCAAAGTGAGATTGGCACGTCCCTGGCATTAACCTGATCTTTGATGGGGACATGCCACGGAGGATTTAGCTTGGATTTAACCCAGGGAAGGTTCAAGTGAGTGGGGGAAATGCTTTGGTCTACAAATATTAACCTAATGTTGCTGCAAGCCATCCCTGTGGCCTTCTGGCCTTATTGTGGCTGTAGGAGGCAGTGGGGGGTTGGCAGGAGCTCCAGGGGGAAACCACCGAGGGCTGAGCATCCCCAGGGATCACTTTGCCCTGTGCCATGTGGGGAGGGGGATCCCCCACGTGCAGTGCCCTGGGATGGGTGATGGTGATGCCCAGCTGGTGGCAGAGGACATGGCATGCTGTGCCCGCAGGGAAAAGCGTGGATTATGCTTGAAAATGGAAGTGAGAAGGTAGTGGTTTATAATACAATATCTTATTTAAGAAATCTGAAAAACCTTCTACAAAGTTTTTGGTTTAAAGACAGAAAAATAAAATACCCCAAACTGACCCATAGATGAGGACAGCTCAGCTGAAACCTGGCTGGGCATTTGCTCAGGCTCTGCAGGCTCTTCTCCAAGCCCTGTGCAGCCCCTGATGTGAAATGGCCGGTTTCTGGGAGTGGGCAGCCACTGCTGGGCTATGTGACCGGGCAGTGGTGGGGCTGGGGTCCCTGCGAGACTGGTCTTGCCTCCGTGGCAGGCTGAGGCTTGTTGCTAATCCATCTTTCTCGGGGCACAGCCCTCCATCTCCAGCATCTCAGGCCAGCCATCGTATTTATTTTTCTTCTCATCATTTTTGATGTGCTGCAGGAAAAAAAGAGAGAGAGAGAAAATGAATGAGGAGGTTGGTAGCACAGTGCAAGTTTGCAGTGTGGCAAAACTTGCAGCTTGGTTCGACATGGGGATAACACCACTGGCCCATGTCTTCTGCAAACAGGTAGGTGAGATGTAGCTCAGGAGGTGCCACTAAGAGGGTGGGAGCCTCCAGAGCTGGTGGCAGGGGGGGGCCACATACCTCTTCAAAGGGGCTCTTGTTATTCAGACCTTTCGCTCCCAAGAAGACCCAGTTGTCCCGGAAGCCCAGCTTGCTCACGTGGCTGCTGCCCAGCTCCATAAATTGTGTCCGTACTTTGTCATTCATCCTGAAAGAGGGCAAGAAGGTGTTAGTGTGGTGCCAGGTGGCTGTCTCCTCCTGTCCCCTCTGCTGCTGGCAGCGGCACCTCCAGCTCCCCTCAGCTGTGGGTTTTTGGGGAGCCAGGTGTTGCTCCTGGGGCCAAACTCACTTTGTGGCAGGGTCATCATAGCTGGCTGTCAGCACGATGGTGCCATACTTGATCTCTTGGAGGAAGGTATCCAGTTTGTTAATGTCTGGGAGAGAAGAGCATTAGGGAAAGAAAAAGGGATTTAGCAGGGACTGCTGCGTGGCAGCTGGGGGAAGCACCTCTGAGTCAGTGGGAAATATCCTGACTGTGCTGGTGATGGCCAAGATTTGGGGTCATGGGCTTGGGGAAGGATGGGCTCCCAGATGATGCATTCCCCATCTTGTGTTCCCACCTGGGCTGTTCCGCAGCACCTAGGGCTGGCCCTTTCCTCCGGCCAGTACAACTGCAGAGGGGAATTTGCTCCTCAACTTTGCTCGCTAACTGTGAAATCTAGTTACACGAATTTACTTCTCAACACAAGAAATGAACCCGCTCGGCTGCAGAGCTGCCTGCCCTGTGATCATGCCTTCGGCTGTATTGCGGGAATTATTCCTCATCCTGCATCCGTGGGATGCTCGAGTCCAACGCCCCATCTAGTGGCACAGGAGCTGACTGACTGCCTTCTCCTTCCCTGGGCCTCTCCCACCGCATGCCTCGCTTGCAAACTCAGCCAGAAATCTCATGATACTGGTGTTTCTCCTTAAAACTCTAGAGTTACCAAGAATAGGCTGCAAAACCAAAAAGCAGAAAGGGCGATTGATCCTTGGAGAAGGCTCAAACAGCAAAGGGTAAATCAAAAGCACTATAGGGTTCATTTTAGCACATGATTTTGAGGAGTTCTGCCAAAATTCTGGAGAATTGTTAACAGCTTTGAAACAATGGTGGGATTTGCAGCATCCTGCAAGTCAGTGCCAACTGGACTGTGAGTGGGTGCTGCCCTGGCTCAGGGCATCTTCTTGCTGTTAGGAAGATTGTTTGAAGCTGTCAGGTGCAGGGACATGGTCTTTGCTGCCACCAGGCTCTGCTCCATGTGCTCAGCTTTGCTGGGGCTGGGGGCTGCATCTCACCTGCCATGCTCTGAGCTCCTCATTTATCCTCCTGAGAAAGCCAGGGAAACAAGCAGCTGCTCAGCCACCACCAGCTTTCAAAAACTGAGTTGAAAGTTGCAAAATCTCAGGATTAGTGTAACTACCTGATCTTAGAAAGTAGCCTGTCTCAGGTCTCAAGCGCCCTGGTTTATTCAGTTTAGTGGAATTACGTTTTTCAGGCTATTATGCACATGTAAAAGGAACAAGAAGCCAATCTCAGATGCAGATGCATTATCAGGATTCTGGGATCAATGGCCTCAGAGAAAGCTGAGCTTTTACTGCCCGAGCTGGCAATCCTGGTGAAAGACTACTAGACTTTATCGTTAAATACATGGCAGAGGAGCAGCCTAAATTGCCGGCAGCTAGTAGTGCTGGCATGAGCCCTGGCTGGGAACCACCAAGCAGCAAACTGACCACGCTTACCTCCAGAGTACATGTCAAATGAGTCAGTTTTCAGGAGCTGCCCGCTTGTTCCTGAAAGGTTAAAATTCAAAACAAAGCACAGTGAGTTTGCACTGTTGTGGCTCTAGGCTTTGCCTGGCCACCAGCTTGGGGTTCTTGCTGCAAAATTCTTTGCTCATCCCTCAGTGTGTCATATTTGCTGCGATGGCAAATGTGTTGCTTGGTGGAGTTCATGGAGCCATTGTGCATGACCCAGGTGGGTTTGTTCCCATCTTCCTGGCAGTGCTCGTAACTATAATTGTGGATGTGCACCCCATGCAACACCGGACTGATGTGCTTTTGGCTCAGCCATGGTGCCTGGGATGGGGTCCCCGGTGGCCCATTCCCTTCTGGGGGAGGAAGGGACCACAGCCATGGCGTGGGGTTAGTGCCCACCCGACTCACCATTCACTAGAGCGATGTTCAGACCTCTGCCAATGTTGTTTTTCATGCTGCTCATGAGGCTGGAAAGGAAAGCAGAGAGCACCAGTAAGCACAGAGATGCTGGTGCCAGTGAAACTCTGATGGGGCAAAGTGGCTGAAGACAGCAAAATATCCCCAGAAGTGGTTGTGAAGAAAACTATTTCCAGATTTTTTAACTACAAATGCACCATGATGCCCTTTGACATGCTCGGCAGAAGCCAAACTCAAGCCCAGGCCAGCCACGGCTCCCCCGTCCCCGCTGTGTGTTGCTTACACCATGTCGTCGAAGCAGATGGAGGGTCCCACCACGTTTGCGGCGCCGCTGGTGATCTTGAAGGCAAAATGGTCCTTGGGGCAGCTCTTGTTCCCGCACTTGTGCTGGGGCAGCTGCTTGCCTGCGAGGGAGGAGCGGAGCTGCAAGCCATGGTGTTGGCCCCACGGGGGGACACTGGCTGCGTCCCCGAAGGGCTGAGCAGGGCTGGCACTGGGGCACAGTGGTCCACAAAGGGGGCAACACCTGGACCAGCTTCTTGCGTGAAGGAGGCTTGTCCTGGGGCTGAGACCAGCTTCTTGTTTGAGGTTTACGGTGCCAAGGCTTGGGGTGGGGTGGGACAAGCTGGGTGCCAGGTGCTGCTCTGGGTGTAAGCAGCGGGACGGCACTGCTGATGCCATGGGGATTGCAGAGCGGTGTGTGCCGGGGAGCGTTTGGAGCTGGCACTGGTTCAAGGCCAGCCCCTTGGGGCTTTTCTGCCCGGAGCTTCCCCATTCTTGGCCAGGGTAGGGACTTGTGCCACATGGCACGCACAGGGCCTGTGACCTGGTTCCTGCCATAGCCTGTGGCCTGGGAGCATTTCTGCTGGGGCAGGGGGATCGCGTGGGTGTTTGTGTGTTTGCAGAACCCGCCAAAGCCACTGCTGCTGTGTGCAATAATGAAATTCCTCCGTGTTTGGAGGGTGGGATTTTTGCCTTGGGAACGGGGCTCCTGAAGGCAGCTATCATGCTTCCACCATCACCCTTAGCCCTGGAGCGGTGTTGGGTGATGGAGATGAAGTTGAGAGCGGTACTCACTGCTGGGCTTGTTGATGGCACCTGTGGGTACCAAGCAGGAGGGTTAGACACCTCGGAGAGCTGCTCCTCTTTCCCAAGCCAGGAGCAGCTGTTCAGGCACAAGCTCTCCAAAACTGCTCCCCGTGGCTGCAAGCACCCCTGGAGCCACCCGCCCTGGTGCAGCTTCCCAGTGTGCTGTCCCCTCCCCGCCCCGATGGTCAGAGCTGGTGGCTATAGCCTTGGCCAGGGACTGCAAGTGCAAGTGTTCGTGGCAACTATATGCAGCTCCGGGGTCTGGCTTGCAATGGGGCTGCCCGCACCCTCCCTCTGGACCCGGCTGGACCCCTGCCGGCACCTCACCGAGCCAGCTTCGCGGGCTGATGGCTTTCCAGCTCCGATCGAAGAATGTCTGCACGATGAACCATGTGCTCAGCAGCGTGATGAGCAGCACCGTGTACCGGATCACAACTGCAAGGAGTAGGAGAGGAGCCAGGTGAGAGCAGCAGCAGCATGGGTCGGGGACTGGAGCATCCCTCTGGCTTCTCGGGGACTTGGTCCATGTGTCCCCATGTTACAAAGCACAAGGTGACAGCCAGCACTTGTGTGGTGTGGGAAGGCAGCTAACACTCCTTCCTTTATTCTCTAAATGGACTCTGATCTCTTAATTAATATCTCTAGAGCATGTGATGATGCTCAGATAGGCATTACCCTTCTACTGGGAGGCACTATTCATATTTCTCTCTGCATTAAAGTAAATCTGATAATTAGTTAGAAAGCTATGTAAATCCAAATATTCCTTACCTTCCCAGCGCTGGGAAGGCTACTATCCCCCAATTAGTCACTAGCTACAGCCGAGCGGCTGATAATACAAATGTGATTGGCCTTTGGCTTTAAAGCACTGCTCATCAGAGCAAAACGTTCCAGTCCTGCATGGAAAGAGAGTAGAAGAATATACTTATATTGCAGCTGAATGGCTCTTATGGAACCAGGAATGTCTCACTACCCATCTCTTCCCAGCCACAGAGGGTTTCACTGGGAAAAATACAACAGGCTGAAATCTACACAAATCTTTTAAAAACCTCATGCTTATACACAGGCTCTTTCCCCTGCCTGTGGCAGGGGAAGGCCAGGGTATCTGGGCTTGGAAGGGGTCACGTAGATGAGAAGGAAGCATAAAGAACTGTAGAAAAATGGACAGAGAAAAGTAAATCTCTGTCTCCCTCCTTACCTGCCACCCGCATGGTGGTGGGGAGAGAGACTGCAACTGAGGGGGTGGCCAACGGTCACAGGTCACCCTGAGGAAAAGAATTAAATACCATAAAGTATTCCTGTAACCCACCAAAACCAGGCAGATATTAGACGAAAAAATAATTGTTATGTTTAGGCATATTTGCAATAACTAGAAGGTCATTAAAGATGTATAAATTCCTATCAGGCACACATGCTCAGTCCCACCCTGATGTTGAAGTCCTGGCTTCCATACGTCGGAGCAGACTGCACTGATTGAGCTTGCTTCATTTTTAAGCCCCTGAACTCTTCACTGTGACTGTCCGCTGCCCTGTGTGTTCCTGTTTCACATCCTTTTCTCAGTAATAGATCATGCTTTTCTATTCTGCTGATAGTGATGAGCTCAAGGAGTATGTTTTCAATCATGGCTTTGCTGCATTTCATTCTGGGATGATGCAAAGTAGGTTTCAAATATTATGGGCTGCAAAATGCCACCTGAGGACAAGCTGTGATTTGGCCTTGCCCAGTCAAGGGAATATGCGGGAACAAGCTCGTCCTCCTTAAAATCAGAAAGGGAAGGGAAGAAGGGCAGTGCCACTGAGCTGGGCAGAGCAGCCAGGTTTGGGGACACCTGACTTAAGAACAGAAATATTTCCACTTGTCCAAATCCTGCAGCATCTTCACCCATGTGAATGGGGAGTGGTTGTAATTTGGAGTGTGAACTATTTCCTACCTGAGCGAGTCCATCTGCCCCCTCTCTCCTGCTGCTGCTCCAACGAATCGGATGGGCACCTGCCACCCCACGCACAGGGCTCCCGGGGCTGGGGACCCACTCCTACCTTTGAAATTCAGGGCTGCAGCCTGGTGAACATCCGTCCTGGAAACCACCCCGCAGTCCTAAGGCAAACTGTTACGTGTGAGATGTGTGCTCAGCGTTAAAGAGCCTAATGTTAACTAAAGCAGCCCTTTAGTGAGGCTTGGCATAGAAAATTTGTGAAAGAGCTATACCGAGAGTTGCTTTTCCTGTTTGAAGGGTAAATAAGGAGCAACGGGTTGTAGCAGGGCTGGGCTGAAAGTTGATTTCAGGCTGCTGTGTCACGAGGAAGGAGAGAAGAGCTTTTGTCTCCTGCCCAGCCCTGCTCCGGGTCCCCTACCAGGGCTTGACCTCAGGGAAATTGCCCATGGCCGCATGACTGACCGTGGCCGTGATGCAGCATCCTCCATTGGCCCTGGAGGGACTTTGCAGTGGCCCAGGGTGGCCGGTGCCTGGCTGGAGTGGCAGCCCTGCCGTGACATCTCAGCCGTCCGGAGCCCGGCACTGCTCCCCACGAGACCGCTCCGCTCTGCCCATGTCTGCCGTGAGGCTGTGGCAAGGAGGAGCTGCCAAAGGCAGCTAGTGGCTTCCCACAGGAGAGCGGCCTCGTGGCTTACCTGCATTTTAAAGGAAGCCTTGGAAGGTATTGGTGTACCCTTGGTATCGCGGCAGTGAGGTTTTGATAGGGTAAGCACACTTGCTTCCCAGCAGCATCTCGCTTCTCTCTGCAGCTATCCCTCCCAGGGGAAGGTGATTGTGAGCAGGAATCTGTCTCTGCGGGAGGTGGCATGGGGGGTCTGTGATGCTGGCAGCCCTTCCCCACACCACCTTGTCCTGGTCCATCCCAGCCCCCTGGCACAGTATCCCTGAAATGGGTTTTAAACTCATGTTGGACGTGGTGTGAACAAGCCCATTTCACTGAGCTGGTGGAAGAGCCATAGACCTGAAAATGGACAGTTTAAAGGTTTTGGAGTACAAATGCTGCCCGTGGCTGGATCTGGAGGGACAGCCTCTTTTTGCTCCTTTCAGCATGAAGTTTTGCTTTTTAAATGTAGGGAGTCTCCCCCACACCTGGCTTCCCAGCCCAGTGCCTGATCTGGTGATGGGTATGATGGCGGCAGAAGAACAGTCCTTAAAATCCCCCTTGGCAAGTTGCAAAGTCTTCAAAAGTGGTATTGGTTTGCTTTTGGAGCTTGCTGAGTTCCCCCTCAAATGCCATGAGGAGACCCTGGAGCTGGTGAGGGTTCAGACCTGGGCTGTGATTTGGGCACAGCGAGTGGAGAAAAACTCCACTGGGTTTGCAAAACCGTCCCCATTTGGTCCCTGCCATTGTGGGGGATGCCAGCCTCACCAGGGCCTATTGCACAGTGCTCTCCTTGCCAAACTTGTGGTTTTCCTGTGCACATATTGATTTCATTGCAGAGGAAGAGAAATGGAAAAATAAACAGATAAACGCTACTGCTTTAGGGAAGTCATGTATTTATTTGGGCTATTTATCTTCACCTTAATCCCAGGTAAAAGTTATTGGGTGAAGTCCCTGGGTGGTGAAATACCTGGAACCTGATTGCATTACAAGAGGGTAGCCCTGTCCTGGGATTTCTATTATATTCTTAATTGTTTGGATTTCTTTTTTTTTTTTTTTCTCCTAAGGCTGTGCCAGAAAAATGACAACTGTGCTCTGGCATCTGCCAGAGACTGACTTGCAGGACAGGAAGAAAGGAAAGAACTGCAGTGGGTGATAAACAGAGTTATTTGTCTAATAAACCTGAAATATATTTGCTTGAAAACTATTCCAGGAACAAAAAGGTTCTCGGACAAACATTGCTAAAGAGCTCCATGGTGTTCTAAGGCAAAGGCTCCACCATGAGCCCACTCAGGACTGAAGTGCTGCTTGCTAGTGCCGAGTTATTGCTGCCAAGAAGAAACCCAGGCAGATCCCTGCCCTCGCAGGGAGGTTTTCCAGGATGCAGTGGGCGATACGTTCCTGTTTCTTCCCAGCGCTGCAGGAAAACTTCACTTCTCTTCCCCAGAAACTTCTGTCTTTGTTGGGTTTGGGGTTTGTTTTTTTTTTTTTTTTTTTTTTTTTTCTTCTTTTGAGCCCCACATGTCCCTTTCTCTCCATGTAGGTCCCTGACCATGAAGGAGACATCATTTTGGTGTGGGGTGGGGATACAGCTCCAAAGAGGGCGTCTGCCAGATGTCACCTATGCCCACGCCCAGTGAGTCATCGCTCCAAAAGTCAGGGTTTTCCTGCAAAACTGAACACAGGGATGCAGAATAGGGACTGGTGTGGGGTGGGTCCACAGTCACCGTGTGTCCAGGGCTGGTCCCACCACAGGGGAATGGAGGATGCCACAATGCCATTTTCAGTCTCAAAAGAGGTCAATCTGACTGAGCTTTGCTGAGTTACTCAACAGGAGAGCACTGTTTGCCGGAGGGCTTATAAATTCCTTGGCTCATAAAAATGCTTGGCCAGCTGCTGCATCCACCAAACAGCTGGAGAGGGCATCTTATGGTGAAACCGCCCCCAGCACAAGTCAATAGTTAACCAGGGTGAGGCCCTGATCCTGAAACAGAAGCCAAACAGGATTCATGGTGGTGGTGGGCAGGGGTAAGGGGCTAAATCACTATGAGCTTGCCTCTTCTGCGAGGTTTCCCCAAGCAGTGAATCAAGAGCTGCAGCAGGGATGAGAGATGGAGGGGAGGGATTGCATCCCCTTCAGCATGGGAATGGTGGCCAGCAACTCGGTGGGGATCCCTGTACCATAGATTGCAGATTGTACCAAAGTGGTCTGTGCCAAAACCCCAGGGCAAAAGGAGGGACAACGGTGCTGGTGCTCAGGGCTGGCAGCAAGCTGTCTGCCGGGAAGAAGCACTTCTTGGGGCCAAAAGCGCAGGGTAACTGTGGGCCATGTGGCAGTCCCTCCACTGGGCAGCCATGGTGAAGGGCTCTGGTTTTTAGTAATTGCACATATGAAAGGACCTGAAATGTATCTTTGGCAGCTAGCAAAGCCCTGGGTGCCAGCACCCTGAGGGCTCCCGGTCGGTGCCTGGGTGTCCTGCAGTTGGGGTTGTGTGCTGGAGCGTTGCATAGTGAACACCCTGCAAATTCATCCAAAGCCATGATGGATAAAGGGGTTTGACCTAGACCACACATCGCACAGCTGATTCCACCGTATATCCCATAACAGGTGAAAACGTGGATTTAACCCGTGCTGTTGACACAAGTAGTTCATTAATTCTGCCTTTGAAACTAGCACAGCTGCACCTCACAGAAAGGATGCCAGCACATGGGGTTTCCCCTTCACCTCCATGCTATGAGAAGGAGGAACAAATAAAACCTTTCCTGTGCAACCCTCTAACCTGCCAGCAAGTCAAAAGAAAAGTGCTGCAGAAAGGCATTATATCAGTCATGCTCTAGAGACCTCATTTCCGCGGTCAGGGATGGGACAAGCCTACATACCGCTCAGTGTCCTGGGCGCGCTGTCCCTCTCTGCAGCCTGCGCGGGTGCCGGGGCATCCCGGGGAGCTGGGGCACCATGTGCTCGGCAGCGTGACGGTGTGGCTGCCCGGTCCGGCCCAGCCCTCCGTGACTCACGGCACCTCCCTGAGCCTTATCTCGCTGCCCAGCATGGGGCTGGGCGCCCCGGTGTGCCGTCCCACTGGGCACAGTGGCTGGTAGAGGTTGGGACCAGCTGTCCTGTGGGAGGGAAAAAAAAGCCATTCCTGTAGCTGTGAGTGCATGCATTTCCTTTGGAGGTTTTCTCCACTTCGGCACTTGTTTTTTTGCTGTATCAGAAGAGGAGAAATCTCTCCCAGGGTGGGCACCAGCCTGACCCTCTACATTTGCACTAAAGCAGCGCATCGTGTTTGATGGGGCAGCATGGCTGGTGGAGGGTATGGTGACGGGAGCAGGTGGGCATGAAGCCAGGACAAGAGCATCCCTGCGTGGGATAAATCCAGAATAACCCGATCTGTTGGGTTTTCCCCCTGGTTGCACTGCACATGTGTGGGCCAGCCCTGAGTGATGCTTCACTGCTTCTTGTTTGCAGGAGGCTGGAGGTTCCTTTTTCAGATAAGCATTTATTTATCCAGCAACAGTCCTGAACTCCAAAGGAGTCCTGAGTTAACTGTAGATATAGATTTAGGCCTTTTTCTTTTTAATCATTTATTGTTGTTATTATGTTTCTGAAGGAAGAAATCACTCCTTGGAGACTCCAGCCCTGCAGTTAGAACTAGAGGCCCTATACATTTTCCAGAGCTGAACCTCATTTACCTGGCAGCCAAGAACAAAAGTGTTCCCATTCCTTTTTCCTTTTTCTTTTCTGTTCCCATCACTTAGAAGAACCGAACTGCTTCTCTTGGAGGTTTTAAAGCAATTTTCATCTGAGAGCCAGTGGAGGAGGTGTGGGGCCAGCAGTGACGTTGCTGCCTTTGGGACTGCAGCTTGCAGAGGGCTGAAGCAGAGCCCCTGCGGGACCAATGCTACTCCCTGGTAATTAGTTTAATACCTGAGGGTGCTTTCTTCATAAAACTGCACTGAGCTGTTCTTCACTTCCTGCTGGCTCTGGTCCCCAGTACTGGGGAAAGGGTGCAGGATGTGACCTGGGTGCTGGGCTGTGCACCAGAGGAAATTGCAGCCTCTGCATTAAAACCTTCCAGACAGGGAGCAGAAAAGCAAACACAGGCCTGGGCTTTGCATTGGGATAATTATCGCCCTCGGAAGGAAATTTTAGCTGCAGTGAGAGTCTGGGCTTAAACAGCGCAGTCTAAATCAGAAACCTCCTCCTTCTCCGGGGAAATATCCTTCCTATTAGTTTGCTCAGCTGCTGGCAATAACTGGCTCGGCTCAATAACGAAGAGCCCCAAGCCCCAGCGTGCTGCAGCACACGGCTCTGCTCCGTCCCGCCGCTTCCCACCTGCGCAGGAGCCAGCCCATGGCACGGAGCTTGTAGCACCCTGGGGGAGGCCTGTTTTGTGATGAATTTCTCCTCCTGCTTCAAGGGACCTGAGGGCCCCCGAGGGCCTCTATGGAGATGGAGACGTTGCTGCTGCTTGCAGAGGAAATGAGCAAAAAAAAACCTCAGCGGGGCCGGGGGGGGCTCATCATCCCAACGAAGAAACCTTGTGTGAAATGCTTCTGCTCTCTGGAACTGCAAGTTTCACCCAAGAGGTTTCCCTGAAACCACAGGAAAGGATGGGGAGCTGTGCACTTTTCTCATGGGACGTGGCTGCGGCATAGCCCAAGTGCTGGTGCTGGTGTGGGCAGCCCTCGCGTCCTGTCCCCGCATCCTGCGGTAGCCCAGGTTTTGCCCATCCGCTGTGGCACACAGCAGAAAGGTGCTTTTAAATCACACATGATGTTAGTG